TAGTGATTCTGTGATCCTGTGATTCTGTGAATTAAGGTTGATTAACTATGGTGGTCTTTAAATAAGTGACTTAACCTCTGAAATTTTTGTCATCATTCTAGTTTAATTCTAGATTTTTATCTTGACTCTTACCTGATGTCTTAAGAATGAGAAGGTAGCTATGCCATTAATGTTCTGAAGATATCCTTAGATACTGTGGATTCTTGTGTCACACATTATGTGCTAAAAATATTTATACCACTATAATTGCCTTGTAGGCAAAGCTAAGCTAATCTCCAAACTTCTTTTTTAATTTTTTTTTCCCCTTTTCTTCTAGTTGATTCCAGAATTTTATGAAAGTGATTCTAGTTTTCTAGTAAACAGTTTGAAATTGGACTTAGGAAAAAGGCAGGGTGGAAAGATGGTTGAAGATGTAGAGCTTCCCCCTTGGGCATCAGGTAATAATAGTCAAACTTCTTGTATTATGATTTAATTGAAGATTATCTAGATTCCTGGGATAGTGGTTCTTGTCTCAAAAATGCCCGTTCTATTTTCTTCTGAAGGAATTTTTGCTTTAAAACACTGACATAATTAATAATTGCATTTAATTTTTACAGCAAATTTGAGGTTTGGTGTGGGATTTTTGTTTGGTTGCTTTTTGAAGAAAGAGGAAGAGAGATGGATGCCAATACTGAATGGGATATATTCTTTAATTAACCTTTCTCTTGCCAGGTCCTGATGACTTTCTTCAGAAGAGCCAAGAGGCTTTAGAAAGTCAGTATGTATCTGAACATCTTCATGAATGGATTGACATAATATTTGGCTGCAAGCAGAGAGGAAGTGAAGCAGTTGCAGCTCACAATGGTAACTATACACTTTATAGAAATAGCAGAAAAAGAAAAACTAGGCAGGAATGGTAAATAACAGCATATCTCTAATGCCTGATTATACAATTGTGCTTTTATTTTTTTTCTTTCTTTATTGTGGGGGAGGGGTATTTAATGAAGCTTATATAAGTCATCCTTCCCTTATGAAAGGACTGATTTCATTTGAAACTTTCTCTGAGTCTCTTAGAAATCCCAAACTTTTTTCAAAGTAAGAAACCCAGGAGTACAACACAAGTTCTCAAACTCTATAGCCTGCTGAAATAGCTTAGTTGCTTAATTATAACCAGGCTGAGTAAAAAATACAACCTTTTTTTTTTTTTATAGTATGTATGCAAGACAAAGAAAATGAGCCTTGTATATCTACATTGTACAAATAATATTTTGTTTTTCCCCCTCCAGTGTTTCACCCATTAACTTATGAAGGAGGAGTAGATTTAAACAGGTAATTAACAAGAATCAGGATGTTTTTGTTAAAGCAGTTAGCTAAATTTCTCAGTATCCCTCCAGGTTCTCTGCTGGCTGTCAAAGTGCTCTGTATGTGAATGATGTAGCTCTTCCATTTTATACTCCCGAATATGCAGAGAACCAGTATCAGGTTGTCATTTTTAGCATGCATTGAAAGATTGTTACTTGAACATTTTTTCAGTCTGGCTTTCATGAAATTGCTTTTTTTTTTTTTTAATTGACAAGCATACTGTCATCGTACATAAACAAAATTATGAAGCTGCCATATGACTGCCCATCACATCTATGGTAAATCAGTTCTGTAAGAATTTGTGATGGCCTATAGTGCTGTAGTAACTGCACATGCAGGCCCATGCTTTCAGGGGAGGGGAAGAAAAAAAAGTATTCGCCTACTTGGCTTAATTAAATATCTTGTTTTTGTTAAGTATTATGGACCCCAATGAAAAAGTAGCTCTGCTGACACAAATCTTGGAGTTTGGACAGACGCCAAAGCAGTTGTTTACAGTTCCTCATCCCCAAAGGATAATACCAAAGTTGAAAAGTTTGTCTCGAACATCTAGTCACAGTGTTTCCATAACTGAGTCTCCAGGTAAATGTATAACAGATAAACTGACGATGTAATGGGTTTGTAATTTTGAGAAGTTCATATCTTTCTCCCACAGGATCTCATTATATGACTCTCTTGGCCACTTTTCCTGTAAGCCAACTCAAAATAAATCCATGAACTAACTGTTAAAGAAAAACTGACAAAACCCGTTTCAGATTTGAAAGTACAGGCATTGTCCTGCATTTTTGCCTTTTGTTCCAGTGATCTCCTCTGGGACTGTTCAACCTCTGCTTTTGCAAGCTGTGGGAGGGCTATCATCCCTGGCCTTTCATGACACTTCAAAATCAAGCTGATATGACAGCAGTTTCAATGACTATTATTGGCAGGCATTCTAAATGATCTGAAGATTTGTTCATTTTTGAACAGGGATGTCTTTGGGGTGACTGATTAGCTTGGTCTAAATAAACCCTAAGAACTTAAATTAAGCATCCGAACTTTTTACTTTGCTGTGACTTGAATGAAAATCTGTAAAGAAATTATTTTGTTTTCCCTACTTACTGTAGGGACGATGTTGACTGAAACTTTCTTCAAGAAAAGGATATGTAATGCCATCACAGGCTCCTGTTCAATGTGGAACTTAGACAATTTTTCTGAAACTAAGATGCTATGGTCCTCATTATATGTATAGTGGTCTACTGTAAATTGGACTGAATCTTCAGCCTAAGTATCATATGGAGAGGTTTTTTTCTCGGTTGTCTTCAATTCACTTACCTTTGATGGCTTTCATTTTTAAGCAGAGCAGTGAAGATGGGTGCTATTTAGCAAGGCAACTTATAGCATCCAAATGGCAAGAGTGGCTTTGAAAGTTGTATATGGTGATAATAATGTTCATGTGTGTTAAACAGATACAGTGGCATGCTGCCTAAGTCATTAACTCGCACATCAAGAGTTCCTGTTGGGTTTAGCCTTTTTATAGTAATTGACATCTACTTGTCTCAATTTTGTTGCATTTTTTTAATCCCTTAACTTTTGCTACACTGCCGTGAAATGAAATGGTGGTATTTCTAACAGAATGCAATATAATAATAAAACCACATGGTGTATTGTAGCAGTAGATGGTTTTCCTGGTACTTTTCCATTTGAAAAGCTCTTGACATCTCCATGGAATACGAAAACATCTCTGCGGAAAAGTTTTTGGTTTTGTTGTTTTGTATTTTTTTTTTTCCATTTTGGAAATGTAGTCTGTAAAATGTCCAGTTCAAAAGCTCTGGTTTTGGGAAAAAAATACAATTTTTGACTGTGTAAGGCCATGCATTCAGGAAGAGGCTTGGAAAAAAATTATTTATCTTGTCACTCTCTGCATTAGCCAAAAATTCTTATTGCTGGAGCTCTGCATGATTTCTGTACTTCCACATTTTTGTTTGCAGCTTCAGCTACCTATTTACTTGAAATCTATCTTTTTATTTTCTATTTGTGATGAAACTTTATTGTGGCATTTTATTGCAGTTTCTCCAAATGAAGAATCATTTGAAGATTTGACAGAAGAAAGTATAACACTTGCTTGGAACAATATTGCCAAACTCAAATTAGATGAGCAATATAAAATTCACAAAGAGTAGGTACCATTTTCTTTTCACAGTCAAAATTGTTCCATTTAATTGGGGGAGCAGTATCTTGTGTCAGCCTGAATGATGGGTTAGAGTTTAAAGTAAATACTTTTCTTTGTGACACAGCTTATTGATTTGATGACACAAGATAAGTTTGAGTGTGCGATGGGTTATTAATCCAGAAAAGGTATTTGTCAACTTGTTGGGGTTTTTTTTCTTTTGTTCCTTATACAGATCTAGAGCTAAGTTCATTATCATTTTAGTACCTGAAGCAGATATTGATTACCCTTCTCTAAAACTGTGATAGCAGCAGCCAGATAAAGACTTCCATTTATTTATTTGTAACCCCAGGAGGACCTAACTTCTTTGATTTGACTTGAAAGGTTAAACCACCGAAGTTCAACTACTGTACACCTTGAGCTGCTGCTGTATGAGCAGTTTTCCAAGTCTCCAGCTATAGGTTTTCAGTTACTCCAGGTACCAGACTACTGTTCTGATGGATTCCTAAGGAGCTATAAGTCAGCAGGAGCACTTCAGGTGAACTTGGAAAATACCTAACAATGAACAACAGCAGCTATATTTTAAAGAACAGGTTTTCATTTGGCCCCATCCTTTCTCTTGGTGGCTTGACTAGTATAAGGATTTCTTACTACCTTGAGTGCAAGTACTTTCTTGGTGACTGCAACCCAATCTAGGAAAGAAACATTCTCTTGTCCAGAAAACAAGGTAATAGTTGCAGTGAGAAAGAGCCTCTGTTACCAGATTGTTAGGGTTAGGGAAATCCTGATCCTGAAAACAGACTTGAGTTTCAGCTTCTGATTCTTTTTTCTTTTTTCTTGAAGACTGCTGAGAAAAATAATAGAAGCAGGTCTGTGTAACAGAATTTTGGCTGTGCAGAATGCTCTGTGCTTCCTAACAACTAACTCCCTGACATAAGCTATATGTCTAAATTTCTAGATTATAGTGACTTTGCCAATGTCATATTTGAGAACAAAAGACATGCAAGTTCTGATTCCTGACACCTGAGGTATTCAGTATCTGCTTGTAGGCAGGTTCCTGACTCTTTTTGTAGCTAATCCCAAATTGGAAAGACTGAATGTGAAACTATCCTCTCACATGGGCATGTCCTTTCTGATGAGGATGAAGTTCTTGCAGAACAATATGGGAAACCTGTACTGGTGTTTCACGTATTATATCAAGGTATATTTTTGTCTCTAGGCGTATAACACACCAGTGTAGTGCTTTTAATCTCCTTGAATGTCTTAGCTCTTACAGAGATCAAATAACAAATTTCAACTGTAGTCAATTTACAGTATAGTGGTTAAGTTTCAAAACCTATGAAATCACCCATAAGCTTACTTGTATTAAACAGGGCAATTACTGGAATAGCCGTGACTTGCAATGGGTCTTCAGTTTTCACTACATCCCAGGGTAAGTATTATCGCAGAGGTATTTACTATAACCTACAGTGTAATGCAGGTTAATGTTTTGTGAACAAAATAGCATGAAACTCTGAAATGTAGTTAAGATTGAATCCCATGAATATCTTCACTGAGAGCAAAATGAAGATAATAATAAATGGGATATTTCTGGAATCACCGAGTTTTGTTTTTTTAATGGTCATGAAAGGAGCAGCCCTAATCTTCTGCCAAATGCAAGATTCTTGGTTTTACTTCATGCTCAGTTCGTACTGTTGGAGGGCATTTCAGTTGTTTTATGTGAAGGCTACTTCTGTTTGGCTTTGGAGTGTCACTTTTGCAAGTCACCTATTATAGAAATTAAGTTAAATATATATTTCAAGTAAATAAATAACTTAAGTACATGAATTTGTTACATTTTAGATCACTTTGACTCAAGTATTTCAATATTATCTACATCTAGGCTTGGGAAGGTAGTAATATCTCCCTTTAGATACCAGAGTTCTCTTAGAGTTTGATGGGCATGAGGGAGTCCATCTGGAACTGGTGCAAAACAGTCTAGTTCCACAAGCATTGTAAAGAGTTTCCCAAAGACTATGAGAAACCTATACCTGCTTTTCATAGTAAGGTACTTGAATATTCAAACAGAAGCAAAATTACTAGCTTCTGTAACGTAAAACACTCCTTTTATCTTCTATTTTGTCCATTATCCCCAGATTCAACTTTGAAGATGTTTTCCAAAGAATCAAAAACAATCCAGAGAAGTGTGTCCTTTTCAAACATGGTAAGTTCCTGTCAAGATGAAAATGAGATCATTGGGGATCTTCTGAAAGCCACTCAGAGAAATGGCCCTTAGCATACATCAATGCCTTTTTTCTTCCCCTGCCCACTCAATTGTATTGTGTGTGAATAATTTAGCAGAGTGAATTGAGACTCTGTCAGGCCTCCAGGGAGACAGTGCATTCTGCAAACATGAGAAGGAAGCATTAAATGGTTGCACTTTAGTCTGTGCTAGCTCTGTTCTGAGTTGCCAGGAAAGGGCCTGTGGCTGATGAAAATAGTCTGGCATGAGCAGAGGAGTCTTGCTGAACAACCTTAACTACTATTTGGTACCAGAATCACAAAGCTTAAATTCCACCCATGTGCTCAGATCCAGTATTGCCTTACTGCTCCCAAGTGTTTGAAGGCTATGAGTCAGCCAGCAGAGAAAAACCAAACTCAATGGAATCTCTGCTGGGTGGATTTGAGGCATCCTTCCTCAATGAGCAGTGATCTCAACAACCACTGAACAACACTTTTCCCCTGCTTCTAAAACAGAACTTGGAAAGAGATTTTTATATTTGATTTTCTGTGCTTGAGCACTGTGGCCAGACCTGGGTCATAGAGATTCACTCCCAGTTTTCATGTCCCGAGTCCTTTATTGAGGCAAGACACTACGATATATCAGCCCTCTTGTGCATCCTAGAGATAAGGGTACAAAAAAAGGCAAATTGCCCAGACAGAAGCCATAGGATGCTCTAACAGGTCCCAAAGTAAGTTGCAGGATCAAGACCCTATGGTCTGCCATGGCACATGCTAGCAGGTGAATCTACATATAGCAATTCCTAATGCTTTAGCCAAGGCAAACTTAGGAATGCTGCTTCTTGGCACTCTAAAAAGGAAGCTCTTTGATTCCTAGGCCTGAAGTCAGTTTTTCATGAGGAGGCCTTGTATATTTTTTTTTTTTAATTCTTCTCTCTGTAGTTTTAGTGCTGATCTGTTGCAGCGATGCTAGAAGCAGTAGTCGCTTTACAGTCCAGCAGCTTACTGTTTTTTAGAACAGATCTAAAACATCACCAGTAATGATACAGTAGAAGCATTGGCCTGACTTTTTTTTTTTCCCTTGCTGCTTTCAGTGATAATAATGTAGCTGAGCAGCTGTTGGTAAAGAATGTTTCTTGCTGAGAATAGTAGGAATTAAATAGTTAGGTGCTTTTTTTTTTTTTTTTGAAAGAGCTGAGCTGATAAGTAACTGTCATGGAGAACAAACATCAAAGGAAACCTTCATTTTTAGTTTCTCTTAGCTGTTTGCATCTAGAATTGACAGTAGCTTACCAGATGAAGATCTGACCCAGTTTCTCCTGAGTCAGGAATTACATACCATGTCCTTGAAATACCAGTGTTTTGAAAAAGGAGATTCATCAGTTCTGCATGTGTTTTTGAACTTCAGTACTACCTTTATATTTATCAGGGACTGAGTATTCTTGCTGTTCAGTGTCCAACCTATAAGGTTTTTCATGATTAGTGTTCATACACCTGTATGTTGTGTGTATAGAAGATTAAAATGCTTCTTGTTCTCCAAAAGCCTGTTAATGTACTTCTGTTTGATTTGGGGTAAGAAATGTGAACACTACTATCTTTTTCTTTTTCTTACAGGCTTTGTCATCTTGTCTAATCTTACCAGGAGATACCACTGTCATAAGTTCTTCATGGGACAATCATATGTGTGTATTTACTTCTGTTAACCTTATTGAATTACATTGAGTTCCTTGGTTGTTACGTTTATGTTTTGAGATAATGATACAGAAATTCATTGTTAGTGTCTATATTTATACTTTTTTTCAGTAGATTTCTGTTAGAAACTGTAGAAGCAAAGTTCCTTTCATTTATAAGTTTTTTCTGAAGATGCAATGCTTTTATAACCTTTTCCTGTTAGATATTTTTATTCAGTTGCATTTGGAAGACAGCAAGACATCTTAATGGGACATGATGATGCAGTCAGTAAGATCTGTTGGCGTGATGGGCGTTTATATTCTGCATCTTGGGACTCTGCTGTGAAGGTTTGTATATGGGTTTGTTATACTGCAATAACTATCTAAAGCTAGCACTTTTTAATGTTCACACAGCCAGATGCTTTGAAGTGGATGTACCTGTTGTACTAGAACAATAACTTTGCTAGCATCACAGAAGGTTTATTTCTGGAATATCTTCTTCATTTAGCTTTATCTCAACTCTGTTTCAAAGCTGAAGTGTTCCTTTAAATAAATTTCATTCATTCTAACTTACTCTAAATGTAGGGGGTTTGGAGGCAAACTCTTATTTGTTGGAGGACCTGGAATCTTCTGTGACCTTGACAGGTGATTCTGTTTGCTGAGTGGAATAGTCTTCTAAAATGTTTGTTTCATAGTTTTGTAGCTTGTGCTTGTCCACTTCTTCAGCTAAGTGGACCAGGAACTTGCTAATCTAAAGAGCATGCCTACAGTTACGTGGAAAGATAACTTGGAAGTTAGAGACAGGAAAGAATTTCACAAAGCCTCCTGTGTGTGGCTTTTTGGTAAATATACATTCAGTGCAGTGATAATACCTGTATTTAGGTAGGCTTCTGTAAGTTATCTGGGATCAGCATAGTCATGTTTAATATGTAGCTCTACTTAGGGTAAACGAGTCCAGGTGCCATTTGTTGTTCCTGTAATCTGCCATGTAGGGGACGCCCACAGGTAGCACAAGCAGCCCTCCTCGTAATGTGAGAGTTCAGTATGGAAGAAACTCATTCAGAGTTAAATATAACTTAAATATCTGTGTTGTAGGTGTGGCACTGTGTTCCTGGAGCGACCTTGAGCAATAAAAAACACCACTTTGAACTGCTTGCAGAGTTAGAACACGATGTTAGTGTAAGTATGTGGATAGAGATACAGTATCTCAGAATATGAAGATAAATTGCTCACTGAAATCAAAGTCAAGATCTAGTGGCAAAGCACAAGGATTGGGTCAGGGGGCTGAGTGTGTTGTGGTGTTCTGAGAAGTGTGTGTGTAGGGGCTTTTTGTTTCATTTTGTTTTTTTGTCTGAGATGTGTCCTGCACCGATGTCCCCTGCTTCCCCAGTTGAAAGGTCCACTCCTGGGGACTGAAGCAACAGTATAAACAGAGGTTTCTTAATTTGTCTTGCTCAGCTTGTATGCGTGAAGTTCTGGGAGGGACTGGAAGGTTTTTTGTTAGCTGCTTTGTTTTTGAAAGCAGACTAATGTTGTTCAAGTATTTTTGTTGTTACAGCTTCTTCTTAATGTATCTTTGGCAAAGGCAAGCAAATGAAAAAGAATTTGTCTTAAGTTGTTTACCATGCTATAAAATATATTACTGAATTTCAATGTAAATATATAAACACATTGTGTGCGCTAAATCATAAATGTGTAACTGCACACTCTTATTTATAGCCTTTAATGTCACTTTAGTAGGATATTTAGAATTACGGTTTTAAACTTTGTTAATAGTTCGGTTTTTTAACATGTCACAACATAGACATTTACTGCTTCACAGTTCTGATAACATTTAAAAACTGTACCCAAGAGAATTATAAACAACTGATGACTAGGAAGTTCTTTAAAAGTAAAGAAATTTTACCCTTAAGGGTAAAGTCTTGCATTTAGGTGGAGTATGCGTACTAAAAGTACTCTGAAATGACAAATTGCATTTCTGATTTTGCAAAGAAAAAGCATTTTAAAATACCATCAAAGGGACCTATTTTACTTTTTATAGGCAGGATTTTTAGTAACTGTACATTTAAGGATGTACAGAACATTAACATTGAAAGATGTTGCAGAATTAAACGTAAAAGCTTTTTGTAAGTAAAATATCATCTTATGTATAATGGGCTGGCTTTTCTTAAGATAGCTCACATGAAAGGAATGGAAAATCATGGGATGTTTAACTTCTTAGGTAAATACAATCGACCTTAATGCTGCAAATACTATACTAGCATCTGGAACCAAGGAGGGTACCATTAGTGTTTGGGACGTTACTACAGCAACAGTGTTGCACCAGTTGCCATGTCATTCTGGGACTGTGTTTGATGCTGCTTTTAGTCCTGGTATGTTGGATTTCAGTTTTTAATACGCACTGGGAGTTTCAAAGGGAATCTCATTCCTGATTTCATGTCATATACCCTTGTTATTGGAGTTACTACTTTTAAGGGGGGTGGTGAGATGTTTTGGCTTGATGCTCATCTCCATTATAAAGACTTTATTAATTGTATATATAAGGCCATTCTAGACTGTAGACCAGTGGTCTAGATTCTAAAGCAATTTTGTTTATCATTGCTTGCTTGGAGAGTGAATTTAGAGTACATTATCTATCTATCTATCTATAAATAAGTAGGTCAGGTAACGTCACATCCAACGTAATGTATCTCAGACTGCTTTGGTAGAAGCGTTAGAACCAAATGACTAAACATGCTTTGTTGTTGTAGTTTCTTTTGTTTGCTTTTTTCTTCTGTACAGACAGCAGACATCTACTCAGTGCAGGAGAGGACTGTTGTTTTAAAGTAATAGATGTACAAACTGGAATGCTTATATCTTCAGTAACTGCTGATGAGCCACAGAGGTAACTCTGAGAACATACAGATTATGAAGCTGTATGGGCAACCTAGTTAACTGTAGAAATGCTTGATGGTTGGTGATAGCAGGATGGAAAGGGCAGTAATACCAGCAACTTTGTTTTCCTGAATTACTTTTTTAAAGTGCAAAGGCTGACATTGTAGCATGTTGTCTACATCATGGCCAAGCTTTCCAAACTGGGACAAAACCCAAACAAGTATCTAAGTAAATAACTCACATTTTTTTCAATGACAACTTTAACTTCCATAAAAGATGATGAGAGCTGCAGCTAAGCAGCTCTTCCAGCAGCTGAGCTGAAATTTCCAACGAGTAGACAGTTCTCTTACTTGAATCATCGCTGTTAATAATCTTGGTTTTGTTTTGGTGGTTTGGGTTTGTGGGTCTTTTTTTTTTTTTTTTTGCAATGCTTCCTTTTTGTTTCAATAATCTAAGAAAAGATTGGCTATTATAATTAAAGAGTGATCACTTTTTATCATAAACCAAAATGCATACAGTTCTATATGGTTTATCAGGTAAACACATGGAATGCTTACTCAGTTACCGGAGTACAGACATACATGGAGTGCACTTGTTGGTTTCTTGTGTGTGTGCATACATAAATATATATATGTATAGGCATGTGTGTATACATATATTTTTTTTTTTCTTCAGTTATTTCCCTGAAAGTCCTCAGGGAAGGACTTCAAGTGATTGTTTCAGGAACATAAAGTTCCTGCGCTTTTTTTGTGCAGGAACTTTCAAGTTTTGCGCTTCAAGTGATTGTTTCAGGAACATAAAGTGACAGAAGTGAAAGACATGGTTCATGAGAGCACTTAGGCACCATACACATGTACAGCTGACTGGGTCCTCTTCTGTTTGTTATGGGAATACGTTTCATCCTTCTGCTAGAGGAAGGACTGGCTGGGTCTAGAGCAGTCAGGGAAGCAAGCTTGGTCATGATCCTTTAAAATAATTTGGGAATAACCTTTCCAGAAAGACTGTGTTAAAGGGTAGAGTTTCCTTCAGTTTTGTACCTCCATTTTCCATTCTTTTTGGCTTAGTCAGTTTGGAAATGTTCAGATCTCATTATACAAAAGCTTGAAGTGAGCTGATTTCAGACTTAACTTGCAGGTGCTTCAAATGGGATGGAAATACCATCTTATCGGGAAGTCAATCTGGTGAATTACTGATTTGGGACCTTCTTGGAGGAAAAGTTATTGAAAGAATCAAAGGACATAGAGGTATGCCTGAACTATTCCTATTCTCAAATGGAATGGGAGATTCCCATTTTCTAGCTGTTAGTATTGAAAAGTTTGAGACTCATCTGCTCAGTCAGTGGGCTGTGCTTGATGTTAGTGCTATCTGGAACACCAGAACTAAAAGTAGATCCACGTGAGTCTCCCAGGAAACTTAACAATGGAGGGATATTGCTGTTTCCAAGACTGACCAAAGGTAAATGACTTGGGATTTTTCTAATTCACACATCAGAGAGTCAACATTTTTCTACCTCATAGCCCTAATAAAGTGTAGTATAGACTGCACCATGTACTTTGTCAAAGTCCATCCAGACTAGAGTCTAACAACAAGTTAAAGGTCACTGGAGGAATTGTTTTGGGTGGGGATTTATAGGCTGCTTAAATGCATCTGTATAGTCTTCAGTACATTAGCAACCTGGATGTGTGAAGGAGAAAAACTATCTCAGTTTTATTCAGTTTGGTTTTTAAGGCTACCTTTACAAAACAAAGTTATTTCAAACTTCCCAGCTATAAGCTTGTACTCCAAATCCTTAGAAGTGTGCTTCTAGGCATGTGCTAGAAGATGTGAATACACTTTTAATATGAGAAGTCCAAATGGCAGACTGAAAAACCTCACTTTCTAGAGAAACCTCCTCTCCTTATCCCCATGAATCCTTTTGCCAGTGTGCTGTCTGCATTCTACACTGCAACTGACATTGTCCCTCTAGCACCAAAGTAATCTGAGGTGATGCAGCATGAGATCATTATTGTGAATAAGAGCAGCCACCTAGAAGCCTACTAAAATTCTTCTTAGCATATGTGGTGTCAGTGTAATCCAAACTAATGATCAGATGATCCTAAACTCTCTTAAAAAGATGTGTTCCATCACCTCAAGTACCACTTCTATTTGCATTTGGATTTACTTCTTTGTTTGGGGTTTTTTTCCCCAGGTGCTGTAATGTCCATGTGGATGAATGAACAGTGCACCAGTGTTATTACAGGAGGGGAAGACAAACAAATCATGTTCTGGAAACTGCAATACTAAGTGCCTTTCCCTCCAGACATGTAAATGAACTCTTCTTTTAAACCAAACCTTTTAATGCTACTTAACTGTGTGCAATGATGGCTGCTGAAGTTCAACCGGATAGGAAGCTTTGTTTAAGTACACCTTTCTATGTTATGGTGACTTCACTGAGAGCTCTTAACTTAACTTACATAGTGTATGCATTTGTTTTGCATGGACTGTCATACTGAAAATGCTTGTCTGAAATGGTATCTGAGATGAAATTAAAGACCTATTTTTCTGTAATTAAAGAGCTCTTAACTTGCAGTCATTGTTTGATTTGCGTAGAAAGCTTCATAGCTTGCTGTTTGAACTGGTTTCTAAGGAGAAGCATTTGCATTCTTAACTTGAGAGTTCTTTAAGGATGCTTGCAGCTTAGTACCATCTCATGATATAATGTATGTATGTACCTCTTGTGTAATCAACGTTTCTTCCTAGTGTAAGACAGACACACATGATGGTAAATATGACTTTCAACATTAAGGCAGCTGTTGTTCTGAGCAGTGATCAGTCTACTCCACTATCTAGTTTCCAGATGTGGCTATTTGCAAAGGCATAGAAAAGAGTAAGAACATATTCTATATTGCTTTTTCCTACTGAAAAACAGCACTAATGTATTGGCCTGTGAGGAAGCCAAGCATAAAACTGATCCCTTGATAGATGTATATGATGTGTTGATATAAATTTTCCCCTAATAATGTGCCTGAAGTTAGTCTTATGCTCTATTACTATTGCCTTTCATCATTTATGTTACTATCCTTCTCTTGATAATCTTCTGCATCTTCATGTTTTGTTTGGTATTCTCAACCTCTTTCAACTCAAATCATCTTTGGGATGGAATTTAAATACAGCATTTAAACCCAGGAGCTGTAGCTCTGTTAATCTAAGCCCTTGTTGTCTTAACCTGGTAACAAAGCAGTGTTGCACTAAGCTTACTTTGTAGGACTGACTGACTTAAGGATAGGATTTCCTGCAAGGGGCTGTTCTGAAGCTAAAGACTTGAAATAATAGTCTTTAAATGGCTTATTACAGCAACAAGCAGCTGCAGTTGTGATGTTGCCCCAGCCTGACCCAAGATCAGTATTTATTTCTCTGCTGGTGTTAAAGATGCCCTGTCAATGTGTCCAGGACAAGCATTCTTCTAAATGACATTCAGTCAGTCCTTTGTCTGTAGAGATCCTGTCTTGGGTTTGACACCAAACACCTATTTCAGAGCACAGCTGTTTCTTCAGCATTGTAAAACAATTGTTTTACAGTTAGGGGCTAGGTTTTTTTCATTCCCCCAACTTTTTATTATGCTGGAGTTTGAACTTACTTTTCAGTAAGGTAATGGCATGACATTAAAGCAAGCTGGTATTTCAGCTGTGTTGCGTACCTTTTGCCTAGAAAGTAGCTGTATTTTTACGTAATCAATGAGTGTGTGTGATAAAGGTGCATGTGGCAAAAGATCAAGCCATATCATGCATGTCTGCTGTTACCAATCTTAATCTTGCAGCAGAATGTTTGGTGTCTGCCCTGTTTCTTCACCTTTCTGTATATTTATTTCCAAAATATCTGTGTGTAGGCAAAGCTTACCTGGAAATGTCTTAGGTGATTTCTAGATTATGTTAAAAGGGTTTTTGTGTGTCAGTTTAAGTGTCTGTCATTGCTTGTTTACCTCTACCCTATTGCGTATTGTCCTTGGTATTGTCCTTGGTTTTCTGCATTACAGTACCAGCCCCAGGTTAAAAGTTGCGCTTACCTTTTAGCCCATCCTATCTTTGCATTCTGTTCCTCCTAATGTGTGATTTTACAACTCAAGTTACACTCCAATGCATTTGAACATCACAAAGGAAGTACCTGAGCAATGGTAAACTACACCTGTTTTCTTGACACTGTCTTACCTAAATTTTGGGGACTGCTGTGCTCCTCCTCATCTAAACCAGGGGCCCTGTATTTTGACTCAAACTACCTCGGAAAGAAAATACCCTTAACTTTCTTCTGGTTAAATATGGATGCATACGATGCATAGTTCTTAAGCGCATCTGAGGCTTGCTTTCTGCTGTAAAGCACACTCACAAAACAGAGCCCTCAGCCAGCTGCTTCATTGCCTAAAGCAGCCTTATCTTTTTAAAGGCAAGGGGCAGTTAATTTTTAAAGGCAAGGGCAGTTAACCCTGCTGCTAGATTATAGCATCAGTATGTTGGGGTTCTTTTAATCAGATGTCTACAAGGAACCACCTACAGACCAGTATTTTCTTGCTATTTAACTCAAAGTTTAACATTTAACAATAGCTTATTCTTCAATGCAAGCTAGTTTCTATATGAAAACAGGAATTTTTTTCAACTATTTCTTTCCCTTGTGGTTGCTATGTGCTACAGATAGAAGGAAAACACTAAGAACTTGTCCTGAAGTATTATTTCCCATGGATCTTCCCTGTGGTTACAGCTATCTGTTGGATAATAAAAAAATACAAAAACAAACTGAGACAAAAACAGGTTGGAGGAACAGACCCATAAGAGGAAGACTACAAACTTAATTTTTTAAGTTTTAGCCAGACCTGTACTTAGTAGGGAATCACAAGGTTTAGGTGGTTAAGCTGTAATATGGTAATAGGTTTGCTTAAATAAAGAGTTTTAAAGGTTGAATAGGTATAGAACTGGCTCCCGCTGAATCATCTGCTCAAAACTGGTTAGATGCAGAGAGCAGCATTTCAATAATACATTGTTTTAGGCTCCAGGGAGTTCATAGCTAAGCAAACTAGCTTGCCAAGGAGCTTGGAGCTGACTGCTACAGGCCACAGGACCTATGCCTGTACCTCTGAATCATACCAATGCTACTGGCAGTCATTGGTGACTACATGTAAGTGCTTGCCAGAGTGGTTCCAGAGACATATCACTGAGTAACCAAACAATCCAGTTAAAATGGCTCCCAGGATTAATCTGATCACCTCTACAGCCTGAGGGAATGTAATAGTTTTCCATCAATTACCATAATTGAGAAATCCTTTTGAGAAACAGGAAGCTAGAAGACAGGCTCTTCTTTACAGGCACAGCCAAGCTTACACTGCTAAGCTTAACAATAGTCTGAAGTTCAGTAATCCTAGATTGGACAGCTGAAACCTGGAACACAGCATTAAAACTGGAAATAACAAAACTGTCATTTAACTTCAGATCACTAACTTCTTAAAGTCTCAGTTGAACACACCTATGACCTAGTCTGGTGGATTGACCCCAGCCAGCAGCTGAGCCCCCAGTGACCTTCTCACTCACCTGCTCCATGCAGGATGGGTAAGAAAAAGAATCAGAAGGGCAAAAGCTAGGAAAATTTGTAGGTTGAAGTAAGATGCAGTTTACTAAGTGAAGAGGAAGAAAAAAAAAAAAGAGAAAGGTGATGCAAAGGCAATTGCTCACCATCTCCCATCAGCAGCAGACTGATGCCTGGCCAGTCCCCAAGCAACAGCTACTTTGGAAAGACTCCACCCAAATGGTGTGGAATTTCACTCTGGTCAGTTTGGGTTAGCAGTGCCAGCTGTGTCCCTTTGCAGCACCTTGGCCAGCCTCAGCCTCCTCCTGGGGGCAGGGGACAGAGCACAAAGCAGACAAGGCCTTGACACTGCACCCACTGCTCAGCAACAGCAAAGACATTGGTGTGTGAGCAACACTCTTAAGTCACAAGTCTCAAACACAGCACCATACCAGCTGCTATGAAGAAAGTTAACTCCATCCCAACCAGACCCAGCAAGCCGCACACAGTTTTAAAATGAAATTGCCACTATGCAGTTAGTACATCTCAAATCAGCTAGGCTGCTACGCCACATGGTAAGCTGAGCATGTGTGAAGTATCACAGCTCTACCCTTTTAAAACATTTCAGTGTAAGCAGGGAGCTTATTTAGAAAGCCATTTTAAACTGTATTTCTTATCTTGTCTTTGTTGTTCATTGAAACTGACCTCAACTAAACAAGGCTGTCTTAGCTCAACATGTATGCACACACACAATATCTAGTTTCAGTTATTTATTTGGTTATTTATGAATCCTTAATAACATGGTTAAGGCAAGAGATAAGCATATTAGTTAAAATTTGTATAACAAGTAATAAAAAGATTTGAGTATCTGTACACTACTTTAATATGCTTACTGAATGATGCCTTTAGCTATATTCACTTTAGCTGGCATTCTTGTGTAAACAGTATTTACTAGAAGAAAAAATTAAACTAGTACTAGCCATACTTCTAATATGCTATTTCAAATCTACTCTTGCAAACAGAAAGCAGTAAAAATACTCATTTGTCTTAAACATACAAAGCACAGCATTGTTCTAAGTAACAACACGTAACTTTGCAAGTGATATCTGGTTGCTTTAGTTGCAATGGCTTATAGTAGTAGTAGTAAACTAAATAAGAGACCTATGAAAAGAAGTCATAACACAATTGGAATTTCACATTTGTCAAGCATGTAAGGCTACAAGTTTTACAGTTTGTGAATAAACAAGATATGTTGAACTGTAACATTCCCAGCCATTATAGATGCAAATGCTTGATGCAGCATATCTTCTCTTTGCCTCCAGAAAGGCTCATGTGCAGAAGAAAGAAATCACTGAGTATAACAGCCCAAGTTTAGTGGAATCATCATTATATATATGTACACACACATATATGATGAGAGTTTAGACTTCAGGAACAGAGTGATCCATCAGGCTTTTCATAACACTAGTTGCCATCCTAATGAAAAGAAAAAGGCATTCAGTTTTGTAAGACTACTGCAGAGGATTGCTAAACCTTCTGATAACTGCATCTTTGTCCCTGCTAGCCCTTTAATACAATTTAAAAGTTGTCCTTTTACTCCATTTTCTGTTACAAATATATTGCTATATAAAAGCTGCACCAAACTGCACACACAGAGAAGCCCACAATACTCAATGTTTTTATTAGTAACTGGGCTGTCTTACCAGTATCTTCCAAGATGCAGGCATGTGTGCAAGCAGCATAGTATCACAAGTACGAAGGAAGGAGGGCAGGGGGAAAAGGTGGCTGTTAGACTGAAAACTGCTTTGTAAAAAGAGCATAAAGTGGAAGAAAAATACTCAATTACACCTGAAGCATTATTAATTTCCAGCAACTTCAAAAACATTTTTGCAGCAGAGATTTAGCTGTAGAAAGCCAGTGCTGCCAAAGGATTAGGCAAAAAAGAACTGTATCCTGCCAAGAATCATGTTTATGTCACCAGAATTAATTGCACTAGAAACAACATTTTAGT